GCGTGCGCGTGCATGCGTGCGTGTGTATCACAGTATATATGTATGTGTATAAATATATGTGTGCATGTATATATACACATATGTGTATAAATATATGTGTGCATGTATATATACACATGTGTATAAATAAACGAATAGATGTGTGTTTATACATATATACGTCTATGTATAAAATGAATATATATAATATATATTACACACACACACACACACACACACACACACACACACACACGCCACGTACATAGTACATAGACAGATAAAGCCAAAAGTGGAGCTCTGGTTCAAGTGATAGACTGCTAGACTTGAGCCAAAAAAGCTGAGTCGCTGAGTGACAGTGCCTTGACTTCAAGTCCCAGGATTGCCCCCCCCCCATAAAAAAGAGAAAAAGGAGAGGGGGGAAACACAAAGAAAGAAAGAAAGAAAGAAAGAAAGAAAGAAAGAAAGAAAGAAAGAAAGAAAGAAAGAAAGAAAGAAAGAAAGAAAGAAAGAAAGAAAGAAAGAAAGAAAGAAAGAAAGAAAGAAAGAAAAAGAAAGAAAGAAAGAAAGAAAGAAAGAAAACAAGCGTTAATGATCTGTTTTTCTTATCTGTAAAGAAATACCCCAAACATCTAGAGTTGAGATTGGAGCAAAGATAAAACAACTATCTGTGCATAATTCAGTTGCCATATTCCCCCCGACCCCCCCACTTTAACCCTGAAAACACCCATGAAGTCAGAAGCTGTGTGGGTCTCTCTGTCTGTCTGTCTGTGTCTGCCTTTTTTTTTTTTTTTTTGGTCGGGTTGTATGGTTGTCTGGTTGCCTGGTTGCCTGATTGCTTACTCCATAAAACTCCACCAGAGTGACTCCTCCAGAAATTCTTATTCAATGATCAAAATCAAGGGTCCTAAGGGAAGAGTCCCTACATGGAAGGGTAAAAAGTCACTAGCCCTCACCTGTGTTTGGTGACAAGAAGAACTCCATACCAATCGTCTACCTTAATACATGAGGGCAGGGCAGGGAAGGAATAAATTTATTCAGGTGATCTAGTCAGTCACACTGATGGGTCTCTAGGGCTCCCCCTCCATGTCTCCCCCTCTCTGCCTGTCTGTGTGTCGGTCTCTTGTCTTTGCCTGTGTGTGTGTGTGTGGTGGGGGCATGTGTGCCTGTTCCTGTTTGTTGATTCAGGTGATCTAGTTATACTCCCCATCTCTCCCTCTGTCTGCCTGTGTGTCGGTGTGGTGTGTGTGTGTGTGTGTCTGTCTGTCTGTCTGTCTGTCTGATTATTCAGGTGGTGTAGTTAGATTTGTGGATCTCTCGCTCCCCCTCCATCTCTCCATCTCCCTCTTGTCTGCCTGTGTGTGTGTGTGTGTGTCCGTCTGTCTGTCTGTCTGTCAATGTGTCTGTCTGTCTGTCGATGATTCGTTCAGGGGACCTAGTTGGACTTGTGGATCTCTCACCCCCCTCCCCATTTCTCCCTCTGTCTGCCTCTGTGTGTGTGTGTGTGTGTGTGTGTGTGTCTGTGTGTCTGTCTGTCTGTCAGTGTGTCTGTCTGTCTGTCTGTCTGTCTGTCTGTCAGTGTGTCTGTCTGTTTGTCGATGATTCGTTCAGGGGACCTAGTTGGACTTGTGGATCTCTCGCTCCCCCTCCATCTCTTCCCCTGTGTGTCTTTCCGTCGGTCGCTGGGTCTCTGTCTCTCTCTGTCTCTGTCTCTGTCTCTTTCTCTCTGCCTCTCTGTCTCCTGTCTGTCTCTGTGTCCCCCCCTCCCCGCATCCCCTCTGTCTTGCTTTTCCTTGTGGACTCCAGCGGGGTTCTGCTTCCTCTGCTTGCCAGCCTGGAACCCACCCGCCAGCGGCAACTTCTTCCTTGGAAGAAGGAAGGAGGGAGCAGGAACCAGCGTCCCAGAAGAGACTCTCATTTTCAACGTGGACACTCGGTCTGTGAACAAGATGGATGCCGCCGCCGCCGCCATTTAGGCCCGAGTTTTTAGGGGAAGCTGTCTACCACCCAGACACATTCCCAGCCCACCTCCTTGAGAATGTCTCAAGGATGGATGGCTAATTTTATTCAATCATCATCTGGTTTCCGGAAGGAGAAAATGCCTCTGCTCACCCTCACACCGCAGTTCCCCTCCCCGGTATCCTGCACACAAGATGGCAGTCCTTGTGATATCTGAGCTGCCACACCACACCACACCACACCACACCACAACACACCACACCACAACACACCACACCACACCACACTGTGGCAGAAAGTTCCTCCTATGGATTGTCTGGCCTCAGGAATTGACTCTCTCCCCCGAGCCGAGGCCCCTTTTCCTTGGGAAAGAAGGATATCCATGAGGACAAAAATAAGACCGAAAACAGAGCAAACTTATCCATAAGACAGGTAGGGCACGAAACCTTTCGGCCGGTCGGTAAAGAAAAACCCCAGGCAAAGGCTCACCGGCCGGGTGGTGCCGGTGGCAGCAGTGGCTCACTGCCCATCATCCGTCTGAGGTGCTGAGCGAGGGGGGCTGAGACCTGAGGATAGTGGTTCATAGCCAGCCCGGGAAGGAAAGTCCATTTGAGACTCTTCATCTCGATGGGTCACCCAAAACGCCAGAAGTGGAGGTGGACTTGGGGGAAAATGCCCTAGTGAAGATTTCCTCGGGGCTGAATTAGTACTACCGTGTCATGCAAGAGCACGAGCTCGCAGAGGACAGTACTGTACCTCTGGTTCCGGGCGGGCAGAACCCGGTGCAGACTCATTATGGTGACAGGAGAAAAAAAAAATCCCAGAGGTGGACTGGGCTGGGAATGTGTCTTAGCGTGCTTGAAGCCCTGGGTTCAATTCCTCAGTACCACCTAAACAGAACAAGCCAGAAGGGGCTCGAGTGGTAGAGCAGTGACCTTGAGCATAAAGAAACTCAGGGACAGTGCTCAGGCCCAGAGCCCAAGCCCCAGGACTGGCCAAAAGGAAAAAGGAAAAGCAAATGACGATAATAATGAATTATAACAACCTATATGTATGTGTATGTCAGAACTCTCACTACCCACTACCGGGTAGGTGAGGACTGACTGACTGAGTGAGTGACTGACCCGACTGGTGTTTTGCCCCTCCCACCGCCCCATCCACCTTGTCGACGGCGAACGCGCGCCATCTAGTGGTGGTTTTGTGAATTGCAGTTTTCTCTCATGAAATGCATGAAAAAAAAACCGCGCACTGACTGACTGAGAAAACTGGCCTTATGTCCTTCTCTTCCAGGCCCAGGCTGGCTGGCCCCTAGAGAGACTGCCTTCTTTTCAGAGAAGGGGTGGGGTGGGGATGATGATGTACTTCGTTGGAGTATGGGGCCCATGCATAGGCAGGCAGGCAGGCAGGCAGGCAGGCAGGCTCGGAGTGGGACCGTTGTGTGTTGGAACACCAGTAGCTCAAGCCCCAGGATTGACTGGCAAGTCGAGAGGAAACGGAGGGAGGGAGTGCGGGCTGGCGGGCG